AAAATTCTTAAAGGCATCAAGACTATGTTTGATGTTTTAACAGCAGAGTGTATGTTTCTGTCATTTTAACATTAACATGCAAAAAAGAAACAAAAATGTTTGTTTATTCATTAGGAAATTGTAATCTAGTTTAATATCTGTATCCTTAAAGCTCAATAGTGTGCTTTCAAAATACATCTCCTTTCATTGCTCAACACAGAAAAAATCTTTCAGTCAGAAAGCTGACTGGTTGAACTGTACCAGACTAAAGATCTTCAAAGCTTTTCTTATAGAACTGTGCATACATTCCTTTAACCAATAAAAGCTTAATTTAGGCTGAAGTTTAACTTTTTGGGGGATATTCTGATATCTTGTCTCAGACAAGGTTTTGGTTATATCAGAAACTCATAGAGATTGTATTATTAATTGTCTGGTGTTAATTAGAAAGAGTTACCAGAAATAGCATGGTAAAAAAAAATATTAGGAAATCACACTTTACTGATGGCAAAATAGAAGTCACAGAAAGATCTTAGCTTTCACTAAAACCAACTAATGAATAGGGTGTTACAATTCCTCCAAGAAATTGTTTGTTATCATGGGACCTCTCAAGTCAACTGGCTCCTCTGTGCTGTTTAAATTTTAAAAGTGGGGAGGGAATGCAGGTTCCTGTCACAGCTTCCAAAATGATTCCATTCTAAATGAAATCATTGATGTCTTACACTTGGTACAGAAGTCTTGATTTTACAGACAAAAATCAACATATAAAAGTTTCCTGACTAGTATTTAGTTTTTTAATCTATGCAGAGAAATTATTATAACTCCTGAAATGTTTTCAGAAATGCATTATGAATTATATTTGCATGTTTGTTTTGCTGATCAGGGATCATAGTGAAGTTTTATTAATTCATATTTCGTTTTTGAAATCTTTTTTTTAAACTCACATTATGTAATATTTTTAGGAAATGGTTTTAATACATTTTATTCATTTAAACATCTATTTTCATAATTCTTCAGCAACTGCAACTGTGTGATTATGTGATTATTAAAAGATGGTGTGCTAATTTTCCATTAATCATTAATAGCACAGAGGGATATGTAATTAAAATAGCATGGCAGTTCTGCTGGCCAGAAAGTACCAAGATGTGCAGTTTGTTCACTATCATTATTGTTCCTATCCTTCCACAGATGAACTTTTGATTCTTGATGCCTATGTTAAGACAATAAAATCAGCCACTTTAAAAATAATTGGTCTTCTATGTATGATTAGCCCAGAATTGATCACGTTTTACTGAGATCTAGCTACTAGAATAAGAGCAGTACTATCCTTTTCCTTTCCCCTTTGTGCCATTGGGTTGTTTCATGTGCATAATAATAATTTAGAAATCCCAGGTTAGTTAGGAGTACAGCCTGCAAATTCCTAGAGATGTAAAATATAATGTGTGCAGAATGCCATGTCAGTCAGTCCTAGATTTGGTCCGTAGTTACCAGCAGTTTATTTTGTTAATTTAGCTTCTCAGACTTTATCTCTTTGCTGAGGTAGTGGGTACTTACAACAGAAGAATATGAAGCAAACTCACATGACAATTACTGACTCACATGGGGAAGCTATTTAGGGAGAAAGTGCAGTAAATTCAATTAAACACACACAATTTTAGTTACATGCCAACTGATGTTCTACTCATGGAACAAAGCTAAGCAAGCCATTTCAATTGACCAAGCGAAGTGCCTGTTTATAGAAGTGAATTTTGAGCTGTACTTACTGAACTCAATATCACTTAAAAAATAATAACTAGGACTGCAAAGCATTCAACTGGAACTTCATAAAGCACATTGGCATGAGTGAAGTTCTCCTCCTTGAAGCATTAAAGCAACTGCTCTCCCTGGGAGGTCAATTCAACTGCTTTGAAGATGTTTCCTGTGATACGCACTAGCACAGTCTCTTCACAGAAAGTCCCATTAGAGAGAGTGGTTTGTGTTGTTGGGTATGCACACACAGATAGTGAAGGAAAGTCTTAGAAACAGCTGAGCCAGCCCTTCTGGAAGATGTAGCTGCTTTAGCAGGTTTGAGAAAGGCTTTCTTGCTCACTCCAAAAGCTTTCGTATTTATCAATAATGATGTACTTGACAGCTGGATTTTCCCCCCGCATACTGTATTGACAATGATGAAGCTAGACTACTGCAGCATGATTTACCTGAGGCTATTTTTCAATATAATTGCATAGAAAACCAGGGCATTTAAGCTGAGTCTGTCACACTGAGAATTGCTTGCTGCAGCTCAAGTTCTCAGTTTCACTAAGTAGCAACACCAAGACTGATAACTAATTGGAAGAAAATGAGCGATGAATGTAATAGAGTAAGCACTTCAATTTTTACTTGTTAGACTTCGAATCCTTCAGCAAAACTTCAAAGGAACTCAGTTAAAGTGAAGAATGGGATTTATTTTTTACCATATAATGTGCCAAACATAGTATCGTCCTTTTTTAAAAAATGTAAACATTCTTAACAGTGGATTCTTCCAGATTGTCTACAAAAATAACACCTTAGTACTCTTTGTAATATCTTTTTTTTTTTTTTTTACAAAAACACTCACTCCTTGGTTAGCGTCTTCCTTGGGTAGTCCCCATTTGCAAATATGACAGTATAAAAAATTCATTTTCCAACCAATGCACACATTTATGACCTAATTTTGTGCACCTGGCAACAATACATGCCAGAGTGAGAGTAACACAATAACCAGTAATCTTTGCAGCATCTCTCTCTCTGTCATGTGTATCCTTTTGCTTAATGAATGGAACTCGGTCACTAAACAAGGAATAAATGTACTGCATAGCAAAAATTATAACCAGACCTAGCGTGTACTGACTCCAAATGGAATGAAGTGTACAAATGAAAATTAACACAATAGAAAACCAATCTGGTAACTATAAAACTTCAGGGGTGAAAGTTTAGGTTTTCATCCCAGGCTTATTAAACAAACAATGCTCTTCAAAATGTAAGAGACTCCTGAATACTTTTACTGAAGCAAAAAGATGTTGCTGGTGAAAACATAAAGCTTCACAGACTAACCTCTCCCACCTTCTAGGACTATGTTGTTATTTCATCTTTTTTTTTTTTTGAATGAAATATTAAGAAAAATCAATACGATCTTAAAATAAATCCTAACCAATTTTCTTCAGGGTACCCTAGGAAAACATACCTTTGAAATGGAGCATATTTGAAAAACACAAGACTGTTTTTATAGGACCTCATTCATTGCCCATGTATCATACTGCAAAAATGGAAAGCATGGATGATGGCTCAAAGACTCTGGGAGCTTGCAGACCATGAAGAAATACTTCTATAATTAGAATAATAACCATCAACAATTGAGTTGGCATTTATATAAAACACATATTATGGATGAAAAAATAACATGTTCATTTCAGCACTGATTTTATATTTGATCTGAGATGTTGATAACTGAGCACAGGTTATCTGTGTTATGCAGTCTGAAATAATCCACAAAAGCACTTTAAATTATAACAAATGTATTGTTGTGGAGGATTTTTTTTTTCCCTCCATGACTGAACATTTTAAATGCTTTTTCATGTAGAAAACTATATACGTGTGTAAAATAACATCATGGAATAAATGTTAGTATAGTCATTTCCTAATATCTATACTTACCACAACACATTCAAAACACAACTATTTAATAATGATACAAAGTATATCACATACTACAACTTTTGGTATTAATTTTCTTGGTCAAAATCATTGCCAAACTAAATTATTCTTGTTATTGTTTTATATTTAAGATGTCATATTTTGAGCTCCTTTGTGTCTGTCTTCTACTCTTTAACAGTTGATGGATTGATTATATGTCATCAAGTTGATGTTGATTCTTAGTTGCCATATAAATAAGCCTCCAGGATGATCTGTCTCCACTGGCCTTTCAGACCTTCCAATCATGCACCCATGCCACTGTAATATATATGTATTTTTAAATATATATATATTTTATTATATATTTATATACACAGAAGTACAGTACATCGATCTACACACACACACACACACACACACACGCATAAGATATAAAATGCTGGCAGTTTATTTACCAATTCATATTAGGAATTTTAATAATTTTCA